TGTGATCTACTCTTCAAACAGGCAATCAATAATATATAATTTTCTTCTAAACTGACAGTTTGGTTAATGGAGGTTTAATTTCCTGTAGGAGACTTTTTTGTTTCATAAAACGTCAGTCACCCTCCACAGGCCTCTTCTGAGCCATGAAACATCCTGCTATATGGTCCGTATACGGCATTTCCCCCATTATTCTTATATATAATCCTTATTTATTCTCTATACTATATACACACCATGCATATAATTTAACTACAACTAAACTACAACATACAAGGCATAATTAGGGATGTGGCAATGAACTGTATAATATAATATGGTTTTAAAAAATGGCAAAAATTTCAGAACTAACATAAAGAAATATAGATTTCTATCACATGAGTAGCACTGTCTTCATGACATGTGGCGCAATCATCTGAAAAAGGTTCCTTCTAGACCACAAAAAACATGTCTCCTGCTTTAAAAGTCTTCATTTCCTTGTACTTGTGACACAACATGACAACGGTTCGTCTCATCCATCTGACTAATGACCCTTCTCTGAGAGGTGACTATCAGCCTGCAGGTACGAACGACCTCCTGCTGCTGAAACAATGATCACCACCTGAACCTGTTGTTAAACAGGGATGAACACTGCTGCTTTTATAACCAATAAAAGCGTTCATCGGAAGAGTGTGCAGACGTAAACAATGAAAATCCCCATTTATTGTGTTTTCTCATTCTATCAGCATCTGTTTTTAACAGGGAAGGAGATTTGTGCAGGGAAATAAAAAATGAAACTGGACTGTTGGGTTTTTTTCTTTTGTGTGTGTGTTTTTTTTTCTCCCTTTTCACAATAAAGTCCTCGACAGATGACAGCTGTGGACACACAGAGTGCAAGCTGCATGTTTTATCGCCTTCGCCCATAAATAAAAAAAACGCAGAGTGGAAGAAATACAGTCAAAATGTACGATTTATGGCAACGGGCACAGAAGGGAGTCTGGAGATTTCTTGGACAATATGAAAATAAAACTGCAATAAAACTGCACGGGCCTTGATTGTGGTCTATGGAGAGACATGGAGGGACTCCAACACAGCTAACTTTATTACTTCATCAGAGAGAGCGAGAGAGAGGGAGACACACACATCAACAGATTCAGAGACCATTACAGTCAAATCTCTTTCCCTAAGTGGCCACAGTCTCCATCTAAGAACCCCCAGCCTCCTTTTCGCCCAGCGAGCGGGGGGCACGGTGGAGGGCAGATCCTCCTGAATTCAGTTTACTTTTTATTTATATAAATCTTAACAACATAATTTCGTGGCAGGCATCACAGTAAGTGCTATTAAACCGATGGCAGTTTCATAAACATTGGGGAAAAAGAATTAATGCTTCGAACAGTAAAACAGATTGTTGTTTATGTAGGTGGTTGGTAACCTTGTGGTGTTTGCCAACTGAACAAATAATTTGCCGCCACTTCCATTTACCACAACATCACAGCGCCCAGCTCAGCGTTTAAAATCACAGCCATCTTTGTGAGGGGTAAAAGGGGCTGATTTTCGAAGTGCAAAAGAGAACTAAAGGATGAGCAAAAGTAGCAGATAGTGAAACCAAATGCGCTGGATTTAACAGTAAGGGTCTGCTCCTCTTTCCCTCGGATGAAAATGGCCTATTGTACGGTGCTGCATCCTTCTTGGCTGCAGCTTCGCATCAGATGTAGGGTTTCACAGAGCGTACCGGGGGACCGGCGAAACCGGAGACAATGACAACAAATACACTCTTGTATTTTTAGGTTGTGATTATAAAGCTCATTTCACAGTTTAATACTCAAGGGAAACCAAACAAACTCTGCCGTATAAAGAAACCAGCATCCAGAATCGGATCGAATATCTCCTGCTCTCAAATGCCCTCGAAGAGCGAAAAAAAAAAAAAAAGCACAGCACACGGAGAGGCCTCAGGTCGTAAAACACAGTGACAGATTTGTATAAGAGACACTAAAATACAACGTCCCCTGTTTATGCGGAGTAATACAGTATTTCCTTTACACTTCAGTCTGCAGAAAACAAAGACACAGCTGATTACAGACACACTAAATCTTATTTTCGGGCTTTTATGTCATGATTATTGCCATTATATACCACTACTTAAAGTCTGCTCCCTACTCATGAAATACTGCTTTCAATATATACAAATAAAGATGAGGAAATTAATGTTTTATATACCTATTTATATATTTGGGAGCAACTTATATTACCATACTTGAAAAAGTAACATCCAAACATTATAATTATTATGAATAATATTCATTCTCTTTTTCAACAAGTAGAAAAATTCTAAATCATATTTTGGACAATCATTTCCAACAATATCTTATTATAAATATACATTTCTAGGTTATATATCTTCATTTAAATTAAAGGGAACTTTAAAACTAGTAGACTGCAAGTAAAGGCTTGTTCTAAATCTTCATACATGATTTCTGTTAGACTTTGCTGCCACCTGCTGTTCAGACCAAAGTACCGACTAACTCAAAATTATACTTTACAATATATTATTATGTTACTGTTTGTAACCCACTCCTACTGTCTTGACTGCAAGGTATGCAAGAATCTGTGAATGTGGCACAAGTGATCCCTATAAAGCTGCTCTTTTGAGGAGAGAAGTCTTGCAGAAACAGACAATGTGGTGTCATTTTTATTCCGTATTTATTGCTTTAATTATTCCATTTGTATTTATCAGACTGAGATCTGCATTTTTGCATCTGTTGTCTTCTTTCTTTAACTTTATCCTAAATATTGCTATGTAGCCTCCTAGATGTCCTGCTTCTGTTTGTCTGTCAAAGCACTTTGTAAACACTTGTTTTTAAAAGGGATATAAAGTTAGTAGAGTACTATTATCAATATTGCAGGTTATTAATAATTAAGAGTTCCCATCTCATCAAAGCCATTGCCTTATTGCCATTTTTAGTTCTTTAAAATTATTTTTGGTCAATATAGAGGCACAGAAATACACTGTGGACCTGGAATTCAAACAGTTATTTGATTTTCAGAGGGAGAAATAAGCTTTTATATGATGTTGTACTATACTGTAGAGCAATTGGACTGAACAATTGATCCATTTCTAATCAAAATAGCACTTTAAAGTATTGCCCTCAGCAGATCACAAAGGCTGCAGTTTAGGATAAACATTATAGTGTGTCTGATCCAGGGTTTAAAGTCTACTACATGTTTTAAATGTATTACACAGTGAATATTGAACTGAAGCGTGACTCTAAACAACTATATTGCAATACAAATGACAGTTTATGTGAATATATATTACATATTACATTTACGCTTGTTGTCTCAATGTACAGAAAATGTACTTTGCTTTCAGGAGGACTTCAGCTTCTAATACAGTCATGCTCTATAATACTGGTGGTGTTATGAGTTTGTGTTCAGAGCAGGTGAAACAACATCTCACCTGCTGCAGTGCTTGACTTGTCCCAAGTCTTTGGCCAAAGCTAGCAACTGGGAAAAGAGTTCAAATTATTATTTAGATTCTTAAATAACTAAAGTTAGGTTATATTTTTTTAAAGGTCTCAATTTACCCTCAATGTCATGGTTTAAATCTAACAACTTGTGTTTACTTGCTAGCATTAGCTAGTTATGCTAGTTAAGCTTTGGTACAAACAAAATCAGAAAGTAGCTGTGAAATTCACCTGGGTCCTGATCAACTGCGACCACACAAACTAAATTAGCTCTGGACCAATTTAAAACTTCTTAAAATTTATTCAAGTGCTCCTAAAGTGAGGTTTAGGTCGGCTAAAGGTAGAGCAAGGAGGGTTACTTCAGGACTACCTAGCTAGCTTAATTAAGACAGACAAGCTGCAGGTGTGCTCAGGTATCACAGGTAGCATGTCTGCACTGAAACATCTGAAAACGACAGGCCTAACTTTTATATGTAGTTGAGTTGTGTACTTACTTTATTCCAAATATCTATTTAACCGCGATAACCATGGAAAAAATAAAAACACGTGTAATGCGTCAGAAAGTATGGAGAGAAGAAGAAGCAGCAGCAGGAGGAGGAGGAGGAGAAGAAGAAGAAGCAGGAGGAAGAGGAGAAGAAGAAGAAGCAGGAAGAGGAGGAGGGGATTTTTTTGACCACAGAAAGCACCGTGCTTCACACAAAAAAATGGAATAATAAATGTGCAAATCTGAATATATGAATAGATATTTTAAAATAATATATTCAAGTTTAACCTATGAAAACAATAAGACAGCCTATAGTTGTTTTGTGTGTGTTTGTTTGGGGTTTTTTTAATACTGTAACTGATGCTGCACATCTGGATATTGCCCTACACTGCTGAACATTTACATGTGTCTTTTTTTTGTTTTGTTTTTTTAAATCACTAGAGCCTACCTTTAAAAAGAAACCACAAAACATGTATATTTGCAAAAGATGGAATCTAAGCTTATAAGAAAGTTGTGCATTTTGTCAGTAAAATCCTTACTTTACCATTAAGGTAGCTCTGTTTGTAATAACATGCAAGAGAATAAAAAATTACAGTACTTGCATCTGAAATGTAAGAGTGAAGTATGATCACAAATAAGGCTGGTAACTGTTTTAGGTTCATTGTTGATCAAACTGTCAGTTGTTTTCTTGATTGGCTGCTTTTATTAATTTATTATAAATGTAGAATACATATTCATTTTTTTAATGTAGTAAAATAAATAATAAAATACAAATGATATTATTTATAATATGCTGTGTTGTAATTTGACAGAATATCAGCATTAGTGAAATACCATAAAGCTTTTTTTTTTTTTTAAATAGTTTAAATTCATATCACATGTGAACTTGTAGAATAACACTTGAGGACAGCGGCGTCCCTTTTTGTAGTTCTTTGGCGGAAGCAGCCTACAAATCCCGAGGTGCATTTCGCGTATCGCTTAGCAGCGGGAAGTTGGTTTGAGCTCGCGTCCATCATGGAGAGTCCCAGTCGGGTCTTCGCCGCGATTTTACCGGCTGATAAGGAGCAGGGGCTGGAGGTTAGAACAGCCGGCAGAGATAGACCGAGTTACCGGCCCAGGGAGCTCCAGGTGACCGGCACGGCGGAGGCCTCCTGCCCGGCGGACCGAGCGTCGCTGCGGGTCGGTGTGAGCAGCAGCAAGGAGTCGGTGAGCGAGGCGAGCGGCAGCGTTTCACGGAGGCTCGAGTATATTTTACAGGCTCTCAGGTAAAAACAGCGGAGATGGAGTTTACAGAGGGACGGAAACAGCTTCAAACGTTAGCTAGCTGCTGTGATAATAGTTAATAATGTGACATATTTATGAACAGAATGATAAACCACAAAAACAGCCAGATTCTAACTAAGCAGCTGTTTACATAGTGAGATTTAAAAACAACAACAATACATTAAACAATAGGTACGGAAATATTGCTAAGATGGTACCAGCTTTGTATTCTTATTATTAAATTAATAAGAGTATTTACACCCTTGTTCATGCACAGATATGGCTTCACTGAAAGTTATACTATATATATATATTAAGCTACATTAATACTGTACTTATATCCGTAAACAAAACTTTTCCCAACATGCAGAATCATATTATAACATGTGCAATACCATATTACTTTAAAAAGAACAAATACATCTCCTGATATTTATCATTTTTATAAATATACACATATATTTTGTAGAAGTTGCTACCTGCTGCCTTCCTTTTACCACCATTCTTACTAAATCTAGTTATTTATGTGTATTCTGTTTTTGTCATTTTAAACAAACTGAAGCGACGCTCTTTATTTCGCTGTATACAATGCAGCCACAATAAATGCATCCTGATCTATTCTATAAAGAGACAACCAGTGTTATATTATGCTGTTGCACTCAGACACCTGTAAAGAGAACAGCGCTACATTATGAGTTATGATATGCTGCGATGCTTTCATATGATACCTGTTTGTAAAACTGGTCGACTACAAGCAGAAGTCTTGTTTCCCTAATTTTAACTGAAGCGCTGATATAAAGCAGTTATGATTACTCAAAACACCCGATCTGACTCTTGTGTTGTTGCTCCTGTATCAGGTTCAGGCAAATCTTTTTCTAATTTATAAGAAAACCGTATATTCTGTGTATAAAACCCTGATCGTTGTAGTAACTCTGCAATTAATATGTAATTAAAAAGTACAATACCTCCATCTTAACTTAAATTGACGTAAGCAGTGTATATAAAGCCACTACACTGAAACCACTGTGCTAATGTTTTATTTTTTCTTCATTCTGCTCAGACAACACGGCATCGGGGACGACGACACATCAGTGAGGAGGTTCCTCCACCGAGAAGCAGAGCTGTACTGCATGGATGCAGAGGTGGAGTATTTAGAGTAACGCTGATCAGCTCGTATGTGTCGAGCTGCTTGTGACGGTGTTACAAAATGCTCCCACAGGTGACGGTTACGTTCTCAGATTTTGAGAAGATGGAGCGAGTTTGTAGCATCCTGCTGGAAAAGCTGGACAGGAGCGTTTGTGTTGGGACGCCACAGTTCTACCACAGCGCTGAATGTCTCAGTCGGATGAGGTAGGAAACAGAAAATCAGTTCTGTAATATCTGCACGGACGTCTTATTTTAATTCTAATTATGTGTCTCTCTTCTAGGCAGCGTGCTTGTGTGTCAGCCGTCGAAAACGCTCAACAAAAGGCGGGAAAAGTCAGCCAGCTGCTCGGGCAAAGTCTGGGCTCTCCGCTGAACGTTAGAGAGGAAGAAACCAAGGAGTGGAGGACCGAGGATGAGGAGGACGGAGGCGGGAGGCAGCGTTCTCACTTTCCACACATACCGACGATCACGGCTTCCTCTCAGGTGTCCGTGTCCTTCTGCCTCAGAGACAGAAGCAGGAAGAAGCTCTCTTGAACCAGGGAGTGGATTGTTTCAAACACTTTATTGCATATTGGTAATGCTTAAATATAAGGTGCTATTTTCATCCAACACACAAAGTCCGTTTTAAGCATTTCCTGTCATTATTTAAGTACATTCCCACTCATTCAAGTTTGTCTTTTAAAATCATAAAAACAGATTTAAATTAAAGTTTTTTATATATAAATATTTTTGAGCCTTTATTTATTAAAATACTGTAAATTTGTGCATCTCAAATGAGCTTCATTGTTATCTTCATTCTCCAAATCCCCAAAAGAAACCGTCACACTGAGTTCCAGCAAAGAGAAACTGGATCATTTTCCTTGATCTGCACAAATTTTGGCACTTAAAGCTACCAAACTGTTCCTGAGGAAAACCTTTTGCATCCACTAGATTCCAGTAGGTTGCACAAAAAAACAAAAAAAAGAAAAAGCTGACACCAGGATGAAGAACACCACATGAGTACGGAAATAAAACTGTGTCTGGGATCAGTCTTTGGAGCAGTCAAGCGTCCTCGTCCTCGTCCTCTGGGAAGAGCTCTCTGAGCCACGGCTGCATGACGAAGCGTTCGCCGTCGAAGTGTGTGAAGTAATTCTCCAGGGTGGGAATGTCCGGCTGCAAGCATCCGACGGTGAGTGTCAGGTTCACTGAGTGTGTGAGCGGTTGTGTGTATGTGTGTGTGTGTTGTTACACTCACCCTCATCCCAGTGATGCGCTCCAGTTGTGTTTGTGGTAAATATGCGACTAGCAGAGACGAGGGTCCGGGACCGCTGAACAGCACCTTGTAATGAGGCGTTTTCTCTGCTTTGGTGCCCTGTGTGCACACAAACACAGCCGGCAAAGAGGCGCGTTTTCAACCAGATCCTTTGCTTTCACAGGAATTCCCTCAAGTGTACAAAAGTCTGAACTACAGATCTATGTAGCATGATTAAATGGATCCTTACTTACTGCTTCGTAGAGCCGGGAGACTGTATTTTTTAGATTTTACACCACTTGTTGTAGGAGAAAAGTATCTACCATCACACCATATCATGTCCAATGTCAACTGAAAACACAACAGCCATAATGATTTGAATATATTTCATTGAAACTAAACGTGACGCTGAAGTAGCCGGCCTTGTGGCTCCCGGAGTCATTTGAATAACATTTTCTGCTGCCTGCAGCTTGATGTGAAAGTGACGACCAGCTGATTGTGTTGCTCTTCAACATAAATGTCTTACTTTGCTACCTGCTCTTCTCCCTCAGAGTCCTCTTCAGTGGAGTTTTCCTCCATGTTTGTCTTCCTGCTTTGACACATCGTCCTCCAAATCACTTCCTGCTTCCTCGTCTTGGAAGATCAATGACCTCTTGTAACCTCAGTCACTAAGATGGCAGCTCAGGTAGCTTTATAATCATATGGCCTCTCCAGTCTCTTTTGATCTGTGTTTTTAACTCAGTTAGTTCTTTATTTTAGAATATTTTGTCATTTTACAGGTACAGATCTGTGCTGAGACACTCTCTGACTTCTGGATGATTTCTGCTCCTCATGTGCAACATGTGATCATCCAAAGCAGTTTAACTTGTTCTAGATTCCCCCGTGACTCTTCAGAGAACAACAGGTGTCTGTATCTGCAGGAATCTGGGCACATGTTTCATTAAAACACCCACAGACGTGACATCAGTTTCAAGATTCACTAAAGCCATCATTTTCCTTGATTTGACCCACACTGGAGGATCTCCAATCTGCTTCAATAGATACGAGTCAAACCTGAACAAACTTGACAACCTGAATGTACAAGAATTTGTAGCACCTGAACAAAAATATAACAGAAAATAAAAACATTTCGGGTGTTTTTACTGCTTTCAACGGATCAAATTTGATCCGAACCGCATGTAAGGGTTAAAAAAACACAATAAATTGAGCTGCTGCTAACCTCAAAGTCTGAATACACTCTGTCCACCCATTCTGGAGGCGCTCGCATCTCAGGGTCCCAGCTCACCACCACTCCAACCATTTGGCGATTCCTCGCCAGCACCACTTCACCGACCCGTAGAAAAACGTACGGCGGTCGAGGGCTGCGGACCGTCTTGGAGGCTGCATAGACGAAGACAAACACGAGTCCTGTGAGGCTCAAAGTGGTGAAAGAACATTTAGATGCTTAAGTAAACGCAACAACACCGTTTAAGACTTAACAATTTAGGGAAAAGATCTAATTTGCATCTTTTTCTGACTGATATTTGATTTGCTCCAGTTAAATATTTACCATGTAAGGGATTCATCAGAACGTGTCAAGGAAGACGGCATGAACTTATAAAACTACTGGCACGACAGTGAAAAATGCATTTCTTTCTTCTCTATTACTTCAACTAATCACATTTGTCCAGGTCATAGCCAAGCCCAGGAAGCAGCAACTGTGTCCCCTGAAAACAGTGACCAGAGACCTGTTCTGATGGAACATTTAAATGCAGGGAGGCAAGTGCAGTCAATAAAGTGGATAATTTACTTAAACAAAACTGACGTGCAGACTAGATTTAACATGTAAAATCAGTGTAATACTCCATATAGGAGGATGTGCCTGTATGTGACCAAACTTTTCTCGTATATAGCAGCAGAGTCTACAGACACAAACCTCCAAAGAAGCCCTGGTCGTTGTCGTACATCATGAACTCTAAGGGAGGCCCTTGTGGCATTTGGTCTTCGAGTCCGAAGCCAAACAGTGACCTTCAAGACACAAAACCATCGTCAGTCTAGATACCATGAGTTTGTTTTCCTGTTCCTTTCCCTAAGTGTCCCTACAAGAGCATTAGAATCCACATTACCACCGGCTGGAATTTGAATGAAGGATTAAGCAAATAAATGTCAGCAATAAAACTTGGCTTTGATTTGGACTCAGCCCTGATTTGACTCACATGACTTTGGACACCTGCTGGTTTGTCCAGTCCATCCATGCAGTGCCGTTCAGGTACGATCCTCTCCAGTCTTTCCAAATACGAAGCAATCTGGAGCGATAAACGATCCAGTAAATCCAGTCACACAGAAACACTCTGCATAATAACTTGATATCGTTCCGATAGTGTCACTATAATGTTCATATAGTGGCTCCAGAATGCCGCTGGTGTCGCGGCTGTACAGAAAAACTGAAAATCTGGTCACAAAGGTGCCAGAAAAGCTGAAAATAATGGCAAATATCTGTGAAATAATGATATATTTTTTAAATCTGATTTAAGTACAGTGAAGCAGTGTAGATTTACAGTCACACTATGTCAAATAATATCATTTTGTAAAATTACTGCTTTTTTTATGAGGACATTATGTAGTTTCAGCCTTTTGTTGTTACTTTACAATCGACGTGTAAATGAATACTTTTATCTGTGATTTTACTGGGTATCTGTAATTTAACTAAACTAAAATAACATTTTATTGTTATTACATGTTATTTATCATTTTCAGTCTTCATTATACATAGTTTTTCTTTAAAATAAAAAAAATCTTTTTTTTTACTGATTTAAATACAGTAAAAAAAATACAGATTTTTGATGTAAACATTATTTACGGTTTTGGACTTTTTTTCTAGTTAACATGCAAATTAATGCTTTTTTTGTTGTGATTTTACCACATAATACTTAATTTAGAAGAACAGGGAAAATCTAGTAAAACAGTAAAATGTTATGTAGAAGTTACAGTTGAATTATTACTATTTTTATTTTTTAGTGTTCAATTAAATGCTGGTGGGACTTATATTAAATTTTAAAGCATTAAACATTTAATTTTCTGCATTCTGGGGAAGTTTTAAGCACCATTTTGTGTCTTTCTGCATCAGTTTATGGTGGAAATGTTTTTATTCATGGCAAGAAAAACACTAAATTCAGGCACCAGGTGACAATTAAAATACACTGGAATGTGTGTGGATCTAATTCTGTTTTCCACCGCAGGTTCAGTGGCTGTATGAGCTCATAATTCTGAGTTTGAGAGAAAAGATCTGAGCTCCTGCTCTCTGCTTCTTTCATGTTTTTACTACTAGTATTATTATTGATCTATTATTGATTCATCTCTAACTATTGAGATCTTCTGCTGTGGTCAGGTGTCACATTTCTTGGGTCATTCATTCGGCTTCACACACATTTTCCTAACTTCAGACGCTTTTCCTCCTCTTGAAAAGTGCTGTGTGATAGAGAAAGGACATTTTTACGCACCGGGTGGTCGCGTGGAAGCGCTGCACCGCCGTGGAGCCGCTCCACCGGGAGATGAAGTACTGCGCGGGCACAGCAGAGAGCAGCAGCGCGACCTGCAGCACCGCGGCCGCTCTGAGCTCAGGCATGACTGCGCAGCTGTCACCTGGGGACGGAGAGGCGCGTCAGGTGGATGTGGGGCCCAAAAAAAACTAAAAGTCAGTCCAAAACTAATGTAGGAGCCATAAAAGAAATCACAACAAGGGACCTTTCTGGTGCCAAAGCGCCTCTGGAGCGTCACTGACGCGCGTAATTTGGTGAATCAGGACCTCAATGAACATATGGCGCCGCAGAAACTTTCAAGAAATCACAAGTCACACTGTTTAACCGTCAAAGCTGGTTTCTTGTAGTAATTACGACTTCTTACCTCTTCTTTAAATCCGAGGTCTCTCCTCCAGTTATCTGCCAAACATTGCGCCTCAGAGCGTCTTTTGCGCATGGAAACCAGAGCGGAGTGACACAGTTTCACTTCTGTTTTATTTACATAAACCACACATGCCGCCACCTGTGTATTTACATTTTTCTTCCTAAAAAATCACCAAACAGGTAGTTTACCCAATCACTGCGGCCCACGGAGGAACCGGTGGACCTTTAGCGGCGCGCCACGTCAGTCGAAGCCGAACGAGGAGCTCCGGCTTTGGGGGAAGTGGATTTTTACGCAGTTGCATTTTGGCAACGCAAGGTGGAAGAGTTCTTCATTTAAGGTGTGTGCCGCAAATAAATAAAAAAAAGCCACATCCACCTACCTGCAGAGCAACTTCAGCCCTTCGCTGAGTGAGTCACATTGTTTGGTTACTGCCACAAAGAACAAACAACAGGAGGTGAAAGTGGATATGGAAACACAACTGTTTATTTACTTAAAATATTGGTATGAACTAACAGGACAGCAGTACTCCCCTACACATACATTCTAGCTTTATGCTTCTTTTTTGCATTAATTCCTTTATATATAAAAAGTATCCAAACTAACAAAGACAACCTCTTCAATCAGTGAAACACCCCCGTTTCCCCCCTCTTCTTTCTTTCCCGTCCCGCGTCCCCCTTAAAACATCCCAGAATGCTTCCTGGTGGCTCACATGCAGCCACTTCTCACACACTCCCTCACACACACACACACACACACACACACACACCGTGACCGTTGACCTCTGGCTGCACAGTCGGTCAAAGGCCACAAACTCTGCCACACGTTAGCTCAGGCCGTGTTTACATGAGCTCCGAAGGTAGACGTGCTGCTCTGAAACTGCCGATTCCAAACTTCTCAGGAACAATATTCTAAAACACCTGATGAAATGTGAAATGGGAGACGAGGAATGCACGGATTCTTGCGTATGGCGACTTCTTTTAAGGCCCCTTTAGGATGATTTTTGTGGTGATAATACTAAATCAGCTCTTCTACTTTGGCAGATCTGATGAACACAGATAGTGATGAAGAGGGTGTTTATATTTCACTGGAGGATCAGCTGGGATACAACACGTGTCCCCGTCAGTCCCCTTATTAATCGGGGACACTACGGCTGCTACGTAGCGGGCCGAAGGTGCGGTTTGCCACCAATGGTTCCTAAAGCGAGATGAGT